TTTTTTTTTTCTTTTTTTTTTCCCCTTTCAAGGTGTTCTTTGCATCTGTACAGTCAGGAGGCAGCAGTCAAATATACTTTATGACTCTTGGTCAAAATGTACTATTCAACTGGTAAAGCACATCAAAATGAAGAAAATGAAAAATTCCCTGTAGGTAGCAGTGTAAAATTCTCAGAGGTAATACACACAAATTTGCACTTCTTACCTACAAAACTGTTGTCATTATTGACTTATTAAAATTCATATTCTTTCAGTCCGGAAAGAATTCCATTTTCCACTTGAAGTATTACAAACATGTTTAGTTTGTTTTTCAAAGTATGTTGCAAACAAGGATTGTATAAGGAGACTTTAGTGAAGAATGTAGCCAATATAAGAAGCTCCTATACTCTGAAAAATGGACAGTTTCACTTTCACAGGTGATGTAATGTTGGTATCTTGAACTGAAGTCACTTTTTGTGGACAGTGACAACTGTAGGTAGATACAAAACCACAGTTGGAATCTATTTTGAATTGGGATTGGGCTCCTTTTGCAGTTTAAACAAGCTGTTACTGTCACCATGATGAACTTGAATGACTTGTCCAAGCCTTATAGCAGGGAAGGAGTAAGGGTTTGTGGTGGGTCCCAGCACAGACCAGAAGGCTTGAAGGATCCTCTCTCCTTGGATCTTGAGGGATCATCCCCTGTGCTGGGTGGACAGGTGTGTCTCAGTACAGTGTTGTAAAAATAGTTAATTCTGAATGTGTGCCCCAGCTGGGAGATTTTTACAAATGCAGGGTGGGGGCAGACTGAGTTTCTCTCAGGGCTGTATGCCTGAGCCCATAGACACAGTTACTGTAGGATGTTTTTGTAAAAACAGTTTAAATAGTCAGTCAAAATCATAGATGCATAAAGTATTATGAAACAGAACCTGTAACTTTCATTCACAGGTGGGACCCACACTCATATAAATTGATTTAAAGGCACTACCCATGTATATAAAGAAAGGCACAAGAGCAGGCACTTTCTATTCTTCCTTCTTGCTTTTTCATATCATGTCTTTATGTATTTGTATGTAAATATAATCTTTCCACAATGGATATTAAGATTAACAAATGTATTCTTAATATAGTTATGAAAATATCCAAAGAGTTCATCTATTATAAATAGAAAATATAAATAATTCCAGGTGCTTTCTATGCTAATTACATCTAAATAAAGCTGCATCTTCTAGTGTTATTGGTGCCAGTGTTTCTGCATAAACTCTGTTCTCAGGGGCTTATAAGTTGGCCATAAAACTATAGAGATATAATATATACATATATATATATATATATAAATACACTATATATAATCATATACTATTATTCAGTTGTAGGGTTTAATGTAATCCTCATGTAGCTGATTTTTGGATGTGCTTTGAAAACATAGAGCATCAAATGTAATACAAAAGAGTTCATTCCAGACATGATACAGTAGGGATAATGCTGTGGGCAAAAGTGAAATCACTAGTTCCAGTGCTTGAAAATAGGTGTTTTTACTTGAAATATTTGATACTGAAAGGTGCAGGAAAAGTGTGTTGGAATATCTGTTTGTCTACCTCAAGGATGGTGGTTGTGTGTTGACTAGGAGGCAGAAGCAGAGTTGTTGGGCTGGCAGCTGTGCTGTCCAGTTCTGGCTGTCAGTCCGGGTGCTGGCAGTGATGCTGTGACTGACCGGTGCTCAGAACTGCTGGCCCTGTGGGTGTCAGCAGGGAATTAAACGAGGGGCTAATCACCCTTCCCCTGGTTCCCTGTGCTGGCTCCTCACTGCTGCAGGCAGGCCAGAGGTGCCTGCACAACGTGTTGTTGTTATGTTTTTGGCTATATGGAGGACTGCACTTTCCAAAGTTACTCACCTAGCACTTTTCACAGGCACTAGCTTATCTCAAAATGTATAGTGTTTTGTAATGAAGAATTTTCCTTTTAAATGTTTAACTAACAGAAAAATAAGCCTAAAGCCATACTAAAAAAATACAGTTAAATACTCGAAGTGGCTCTTAATGTATCTAAGTGATTAGATTGTGTGCAGACTTGAAACCTGAATGGAAACTGCTTGAGCAGAGCTGTGTGACAACAGGAGCTCTTTCTGGCTGTAGGAATGTTTCTGCCTGTTACCAGGGCCAGGGCTGGGGCAAATGAGCAAAGCCTGGCTTGGCTCCCTGTGCTGCTGACCACTTGGGCTCATTGCATTGGACTCACAGAACAAGCAAACAACAGGAAAAAAAAAAAAAGAAAAAGACACCAACAAAACCAAACAAGTCCAAATCTACAACAGAACCAGAGATCAAAGTTACAAGTTGCAGACAATCAATTTATAAGCAACTTAGTTGCTTTTGACTTGAAAGTCTAAAGCACACACTTTAGACTTCCTTCACAAAGACTGTGAAGGAAGAACAGCTTTCATTTTGCACACAGTAGGTGTGCAAAACTTGCAAAGCTGCTCGTGCTGTAAGTAATCAGTGGTCCAGGCTGCCCTGTAATATTTTCAAAGTGTGCTTATCTCAGCAGCCTCTGCATTACAGAGGATGCATGGGATTTTTTCCCTCCCCTGTTTTGGTGTCAACAGGTAGGAGGCTGATACTTTCCTGATGCTAGGGACTAGTTGAAAAGAATTTAGCAAAGAACAGTGGGAATTTATAACTCATATGAACAGACTAAAGAAGTAAATGTGATCAAGCTTAAGTTTACTGTAGCAGAAAATTGCAACAATGACAATACGTTGACACACTGTGAAGAAGTTTAACTCCATGCTAAAAGGGAAAAAGCCCAAACAACCCCAAGTTCAAGAGAGGGAATATGCACTATTACATTGGGATTGTAATTCATTCTGTTTCCCTCTATTAGCTTTCTTCTTTCTAGCTCCAATTCGAGGCAGTGAGTTGGATTTTCATTTTCTATTCACTATAAAAAAAACATTTAAAACTTTCCATGTGTAATTATGGAAAGAATGAGGCACTTAGAGGGGAAAGCTTTTGAAGGATTTAGAAGTGGTATTGCCAATGGCAACAGCAACTGGATGCAAAAAGGAGAAATGTGTGGCATTGTCTCTTATAAAGAGATAGTCAGAATGGTTGAAGATGAGAAAGAGCCCAGAGATGTTGAGAAGAGTAGCAGAAGAAAGGGGAAGTGACTGAAGAGGAGGGAGAAGCTGAAGAAAAGAAGCATGAGTAGCTAAAGGTAAGGGAGTGGATGTCTAGCACAGCATATTGCTATAGGAGGAATACAAAAGGTTAAAAAATGTTAAGGAAAAGAAAGCAGCCAAAGAAATGGAAAGGTATCTGAAGCAACTGGGGGGCACTGAATGAGGGAGGGAGTATTTTGAATAACTGTTCAGCTCAAAGCAAAAGTAGCAAAAGTACAAAGGCCAGAAGAAAAAAATCCAGTGACCAAGGTTATCCAGACATAATTTTAACTATGCAAAATGTATATCAAATTTGTAATTTCATTTTGTGAGATGTTTCACTAGCTATACCCTTTCACTAACTTTTAAAACCAAGGACTAAACTGCTTAATGTGTTTTTCTAGTGATGTCACTTTGACATGAAAAAATGCTACAGGGGCAGAATGTTAAGGATCCATGTCATTAACCCTTTGGAACATGCAGTCTCCTAATGACAGGTGGTGCTCATTATGTTGCATTTGCCACATAAGATTGTGCTAATGCTGCAGCAATGTGGAACTGTGTCTATGTGCCTGCTTTCTTTTTAGGCATGGTGAACTCTCTTTTGCAGCCTGAAGCTTGGCACATGACTTCAAAACCTGGGAACCATGCAAGTTATGTACTGTACACTATGTATTGTTCTCTAAGGTTTAAATTGTACAATTGAAACAGTAATAAAAATACTCTGAAAAATCAAAACTAGTATAATGCTTGCAATGATTCTGTTATATTGACATCGGCTGTTGTAAAAATCGTAGAAACCTTTGTTATTGTTTTCCAAATCCAGTCACCATCCTTAGGGAAACATCCATATCTGCCTGTAGGGACAAAATAAATATATATCCTTGTATGGATAAAGATGTCCAAGTGACAGTGTGAGCCTTCAGACTGGACAGAGTGCTCCTGAGGGTGACAGCCAGTGCTGTGCTGTGTGTGCTGCTAATGAGCTTCACTGGGTTCCTGTGTGTCTGCCCTTCTTTACACAAACGCCCAGTAGGATGAGGGCAGTGGAACTACAGCAAAGTGACAGCTTGCGTCATTGATGCTACAAGAACTGGCTTTTGTGCACATCAGCCCGAGTGCCAGGTTAGCCCAAGTCACTTTTTCTCAGGTAAGCTCACAGAGTCTTCATTGCCACTTGCATTGTTTCTCCAAAGACCATCATAAAAGCTGGGTTACAAGTACAGTTCCATGGGTAAACATCTGTATTTAAGTTAAATGAAGCATAAGCAAACCTGCAGTCTATAGGAAAGAGTTCTGTAGATTTTAAAACCTGTGCAGTAAGTGAAATTTCCACACACCAAAAGTGTAAGAAATTTTCCTGCTGATAACCCACCACTTTCTTAAGCTGCCTTTCAAAGTGCAGAGAGCTGATTAAAGGGCAAAGGTATGTCAGCTGGGTAATCACCCAAAATGTTACTTTAGCATTACTTGACCACTTCCGTTATTTTCTCAGAAGATTTAACAAGAGCACCTAGGAAATAATGGTGAAATGGGTCAGAAAAACTTTTCTGTTTTTGTCCGCAAAACACTTTGTAGTGAACAACTTTTACAGTAAGCTTTATGATATTTCACACCAGCTAATTTTTTAAAATCTAGAGCATTATCTTTTTTTTTTTGTGCCTTTAATTTCTCCAGTGTATTTTAAATGTAATATTTAACAGAATGTTATAACATCCTCCTATTCAGCATGGCTCATTCCTCACTGTCACTGCTGTAAAGTTAACAACTGTTTTCTTAAAGTGTGTTGTATATAAAACCCAAGATATTTGAGATTATTGATTGACATGGGCTGAACACAAGTATTGTTTAGCACACTTGGTTGTAGGCATACAAAACTCATATTGTCTTCAATGAGCTGCTTATACACCCTGCTGTAGCAGGCTCAGCATAACACAAAGCCCTTAGTTCTTGTGATGTGGTACAGCCATCTGCTGATGGCTCCTCTCCAGTCATTACTGACTGTTTCTCATCTTCAGTTTCTAACGCAGTCAGATCAGTCCCACTGTTCAGGTATGGTAGGGAAGTCACATCTATTGGTATTACCGATATTGAGGACGGGACGTGCCTTGGCTTGTTGGCCCTGCTGCTGAAGCGAACGGCGGCAGCTGCGGTGCTTCCCCCCAGGGACGCTTTAGGCGAGCTGGATGTCGCAGCTGGGCGGGACAAGTCCGGGCATGCCGGAGCTGCGGTGGCGGCGGGATGGAGCTTCCCTCGCAGGGGGTTCGCCCTCTCGAGTTTCCTGTGCTGCAGAAGGTTTTAAGGCGATAATGAAGGAAAGGAGTCGGTTCTGAGGGAGGGTTTTAATCCAGAGTTTTTATTCTGGCCCGCAGGCGTCTGAACCCAGCAACTGCTCCAGCAGAACTCCCGGACCGCGCGGTTCCTCTCCCTTTTACCTGGGGGAGCGCGGGGGTGGGGTCGGAGCCACCAGCCAGGTACAGGAGAGGAGGTCTCAGGGGACAAAGGACACCTGGATGGCCCAATGCCCCCGGGGGTAGAGGGCATCTTTGGAATCTGCTCAATCACTCCATGCCCTTCTGGAATTCCAGGAGTGACAGACAGTGCTGGCACGGGTCAGGGTGGGGAAAGGAGGAGTGATTGAGACACCTGGGAGGAAATCTTCAGGGGAGAAACCCGGGGTTCGGGGGTAAACCACGAAATCACACTGCAACACACATCCAGATGAACTCACAGACATAGCCAGTCTTGAAAACTTGTTCATATGCTGACAGCAAGAGATTTACCCTTGTTCCAGTTTTGAAATTGGTATGTTAGCTGGACCTCTGCTGGTGAGAAGGAAGGCAGCAGGAGCAAGTTCCTAAGAGATGGAGCTGTCTTGTATCTGAACCTGCATTGCATACAGATTTATCCAGTACAAAGTATTAACTCTGCTATCAGTCCACGTCAGTCCATTGCCAGTCCACAAAAGCTTCAGCTTCAATGAATGAGACCCCACTGACCCACAATAAAAATAGCAACAAATGCACATGTAACAATAACCTGTGCATAAGTTTCTTCTGCAAATCACATCATGGGCACAGACAAAAGTGGAGACAAACTGGGAGCGGTCCACAGATTTCCTCATTATACCCACACATTATTTAATAACTTAAAAAAGTGTGCACCATAGTTATCCATTGTATGTGATATGAAATCACATCCTGTGCAAGATAATTTTGGGTCATGTTCATTTTTTTAAACTGTAAATGCCATTTTACCAGTTCACACAACAAGTCATGTTTACTGGGGAAGAAAGACACCATGTGGAAGTTTTACCCAATACTTCAATATAATCTTACTAAGGAATGCACTGTGACATAAAATCCATAATGTCCAATAATTCCTAGAGAATTCTAAAGGCCAGCAAAAGCGTGTGCTTTATACCCCTTTGTCTAGTGTTTTCGGACTGTTTTAAATGGTTCAGGCAACAGGTTTTCCAATTTCCGCATGGCGAATGCTCCACAGTAACAAAGGCAGTAGACTAAGGATACATCTGTGCTCAAGCTGGAAGAATTGCTCAGCACCTGAGCCAGCTCTGCCTAAGCTGCAGCCATACTTCTAGATTTCTAAAGTGACACTATAAAGGCTGGAAGTTGCTGCTCTTCTTAGCCTTTTTTTTTCCCTCTCTCCTCACTCTGTCCTGCTGGAATGGCTGGGGTGGGCAGGGATCTCTGGAGAACATCGAGTCCAACCCCTGCTAAACCAGGGTCACTCGGAGCAGGTTGCAGAGGATCTCATCCAGACAGCACCGGCGAGGGCGGGCACCGAACCACCGCGGGGGCAGCGCGGCCCCTGCCCAGCGGAGGGACACCGGGGCCGCGCACCGCCGCTACCCGGCCGCCTCTCTCACCGCCTCCGCAGGGCTCAGCTTCGGCCCTGCTCCGGACCGCAGCTGCTCCCCGTGTCCGTGTCCGTGTCCCTGTCCCCGTGTCCCCGTGTCCCCGTCCCTCAGTCCGTGTCCATGTCCCTGTCCCCGTGTCCCCGTCCCTCAGTCCGTGTCCCCGCCCCCGCCCGGGCCGTTGGCGGTTTGAACCGCGCGCGCCCGCCCGCCCCGCCCCGCGCGCGCGCCGTGGGGGCGGCGCCCTCGGCTCAGCCATGACAGCGGGAAGCCGCGGCCGGCCCCGGTAGCGCCGCGGGCCGCGGCTCTAGCGCCCGGGAGGGGCGGCCAGAGCGCTGTCATGCAGGACGCTACCCCGGAACGGGCCGAGGAGAACCGGGCGGCGACCTCGGCGGAGGGCGGCGGGGCCTTCTCTCTGCAGAGGGTGTTTGAGGAGGTGCAGAGCTCCTCGCAGCTGAGCGCGGCGCCCGCGGAGCCGCCGGCGGTGACGGTGGTGGCGGTGGAGCGGTACCTGGCGCGGACGCCGCCCGCCGCTCCCCGCCAGTACTGGTACGACGTGACGCTGGCGGACGGCGCGCGCTGGCACCGCTGCCACCTCGCGCCGCGCCTCAACGGGCTGGTGCAGCGCGCGCGCCTGCGGGCGGGCACGCGCCTCCGCCTCACCCGCTGCTCGTTCCGCTACGACGAGAGGCGCCTGAACCGCGGCTTCCTCTGCCTGGAGGGGCTGGAGCGGGCGGGGGGCACCGCCACCACCGGCACCGACACCACCGGCACCACCGCCGGCACCCCGCCCGACGGGCACCGCCCGCTCCAGCCCCTCCGCGGGGACAATAGGCACTACCTGCCGCTCTGGAACAACGAGGATCCCTACGGAGACGTGTGGGTACCGGACAGACCCCCGGTGCGGGTGGATGTGGATGGTAAGGGCGGAGGAGGCGGCTGTGGGGGTGCGGGAGGGACGCCCTGAGGGAGGAGGCGGTGCCGGTTTTGTTGGGCGTTTGTTGCTTTGTTGGGGAAGGGTCGGGAGCGCAGGTCCTGTGAGGGCCGGCTGAGGGGGCTCTGCCTGGAGAAGAGGGGGATCAGTGGGGCCTTTTCACTCTCTACAATCCCCTGACAGCAGCGTGTGGCCAGCTGGGGCTCGGGCTCTTTCCCCAGGTAACCAGCTGCACTGCAAGGACACATAGTCTTAAACAAAGGGTTTGCTTGCGCATTAGGAAGAATTCCTTCATAGAAAGGGTGATTAGACATTTGAATGGGCTGCCCAGGGAGGTGATGGAGTTACCGTCCCTGGAGGAGCTGAAGGCAAGACTGGATGTGGCACTTGTTGCCATGGCCTGGTTGACAGGGTGGTGTTTGGTCATAGGTTGGACTCGATGCTTTTAGGGGTGTTTTCCAGCTTGGTTGATTCAGTGATTGCTTGTGCAGCTGGGCTGAGCTTCCTGGTATCCTCCAGCTGTGTTTGGCCCTACTGGGGATGTGCCACCTGTGTCAGTTCACCTCCTCCTGTGGGGAAAACCTCTTTCCTGGGAAGATAGTGAGGCACTAGCACAGGTATCCCAGAGTTGTCGACTTGTGGATACTTTTGCCCCTGGAAGTGTTTAAGACCAGCTTGGATGGGGCTCTGAGCAGCCTGGTTTGGTGCAGCATGTCCTTCCCATGGCAGAGTACTGAAACGAGATAACCCCTTTGAACCCACCCCCTTCTGTGATTCTCTGTTGTTTTGAGAGAGTTTTTTAAACTCTAGGAACATTGACTGAAAATATGTAGCTGTGGTGCTTGTGTCCAGTCTTCTGAGGTGTCAAAAACACTGGGTGCAGTAGTAGTCTCATGTCTGATCTGTGGGGCAGGATGCTCACACTTAGAGGCTGCCACCAAAAATGTGATCAGCACTGGGGGGCTCAGGTCATTCCACGAAGCCTGGTGAGGAGAGAGGTATAACAGGACTTCTGCTTGAGTAGGCTGACACCTGTGGGTTTTGTAATAGCCCTTCTGCTCATCTGACAACACTTTGGTGTCATTTAAAATGTGTCATCACTCTCAATTAAAAAAAAAGCTATGCTGTGTGCAGATAATTCATAACAGAATTTTATTGGTGAATGATATCAGCAGATGAGCCTTTTTAAATGTTAGAAAGATTAATAAAATAGATGTAACATCCTGCCACTTTACTCCTGAAAACTTAGATGTTCAATCATGAATGCTCTTTTTTGATCTTTTCTTTTCCCCTCCCCTTAACCTTAGTCTCCAAACTGACTAATCTTGGTCATCTGGAAAGGACATGGAGAAGCAGAGTGCATTTCCATCCACTTCTTGTGAGAATCCTGCACAAATCTAGACTAAGGTACTATGGAAAACCAGAGAAAAAAATGGATATGCCTTATCAGGTAAAGAGGGATAAATGGATAGGTTAACACTCAAATTGCTGTAGGATATTTGAAAATATTTTTCCCATATAGTAAGCACATAAAGTAATTGTGTAGCTATTTTATATGGAAAATATTGCCTTTACAAAAATGCTGAGCTCTTTAGAGCCGTAAATGCTGAATTTTGTGATCATATGTGTACAAACTTTAGTGGCTGCATTTCAGTTACTATAGTTCTTTTGAGCTTTTTGTGAAGAAAAGGATACTTTGAGTTGTTAGTTTAATAGCCTAAACATTTCTGGTCTCTGCTTTGAAAGTTGGAGTTACTATATCCTGTCAAAAAAAAAAAAAAAAAAAAAGGCAATATATTTAAATTATTTCTAGGCCCTGATTCTCTCATCTGTTCACTTTCAGATAGATTATTTTACTGTAAAATTCTCAATTATTTTTCTAGTACGTTTAACTTGTATATACTTGACTCTAATATGTTAAACTTTCTAATACATTTAACTTAAATCTAATAGATTTAACTTATATTTTTCTGTTGAACTTGGAAAAGGAGACGGGAAGTGTAGTGGGTTAGTTTGAAAATCTTTTTGTACTGCTCAGTTTCAGATTCAGCATTTGCCGTGTTTAACAACTGGGGATTTTTTTCCACTCTAGTATTCAGTACAAGTTCTGGAACATTTATATCCATTTGTAACAGAGAAATAATTTATGAGTCAAGTACCGGTGCATTATCCAAAATAAATACCTAGCAGAATGATAATAAATAAGACGACTGTATATTGTCTCTTTTTCCCTCAGGCTTACTTTGAAGTTGCTGATGGCTCAGGCATGATGTCGATGGTTTTGTGGAACTCGCTGTGTCCTGAATGGTATCACAGTATGAAGGTTGGCACAGTGCTGCTCCTTGCCAAGTATGCCATCAAATCCAGTTACCCGTTTAAAACACACCCCACCCCAGGGGATTCACAGATGAAGAGATTTGCTACAATTGGTTAAGTATTGCAGAAACCTATTTTCAGTCTATGAAATACAGCTGTGCAAAGTAGTTCTCCATAGAAATAAAATAGAAAGTGATCTATAGCTGATGTTAATTGTAAGGTATAAATACTTAGTTCGTACTTCTGAAAGGCGTCTAAGTGTCCAGGTTCATGCTGTTCCCTGTTTATATTGAATCATGTCTACAAAGTTCACTGCCGCAATTAGTTAAAACCTTTATTTAAAAAATAAAGAAATTTAAAAATAATCCCTGATATCAGGAACAGAAATTATAAAGATAGGCCTCTGGTGATTTTTAATCTGATTCTACTTCCTGCTTAATAACACACATATCACTTGTACACTGCTCGCATCTTTTTCCATGTCATTGAAGGACATTATCACCTCATCTGACTTTCGATTTTAGTGTATACTGTCAAGGCCCAGAGTATCTGCACAGCTCCACAGAACAGAAAGTTGCATTGATGACTTTTGTGTGCTGAAAGAGCATCACTGTGGGAGTATGTGTATGAAGAATATTCCTTGGCTATGAAAAAGCATTTTCTTAGTTGCCAGTTTTTTAGTGTGGCAGATACTCAAAGGAGCTATACTACAAAAATACAAGTCCTGCAGTATAGCAGTAATGGCCTTTTCAAACTGGAATTGATCGACTTTGGGGTTGTTTTCTCTCCTCCTTCACTCTGTATGAGCTCTTTCCCATTTTGTGCTTTTGTACTCGGAACAAAATGACAGCCAACATTCAGAAAATTCAAATAAGTTCTTGAAACAATATGCATGATGGTGAAGGGTGATCTGTGTATAACTTATTGACAATGACAGTTTCCTAATGGAGTTAGGAAACAGTGCACAAAAAGTTAGCTACAGTGTACAAAAATAAGCAATGTTTTCACTGCCAGAAGCAATATCTTGCCTGACTGATAAATATTTGTATTAAAACCATATCTCAATGTGTGAAGTATTTATGATGGCTTGGCAGGAGATAGAAATGTTTAACCAGGAATGGAAGTTTGTGAGGGAAGGTGATGACAATTACAAGCCAACCCTGAAAACAATTATAATTGCCACAAAACCTTTCTATGCAAAGAAGACAGAGTGAAATATGCCGAGTTGACGTTTTCTATGGGCAAATATCTTTGCATTTTCAATGCCCTATTTACTCTGCACTTCTGATTTCTTACAAGCATTATTGGGGTAGAAGTGGTAACAAAGAGATCAAAATGGCCAGCCAATCAGCCACTGGGCTCTAAAGGGTAATAGCTGTGTGATGGAAAAACTAGAAGTCACTCCATTGGAAAGCACCATGGTGCACAGATAAACTGCAGAAATTGTAAATCTTTGCTTCGTACAAAAGTACGTACAGAATCTCAGTTCCTTGCACAAAGCTGAGAATTTTGTCTTAATATGAATTTACATGATGCATGAATGGATGGTATGACCATATGTTCTCTAAGAACAGAGTCACAAGAGAACAGAATATCCAGAAAAAGTTTTAGGGCATTTGTAAACATGGATTTTGTGCAACTTCCATTGCGTGATGGTTTTTTTTGTTCAGATGAAGTGAAATTATTACCTCACTAAGTATCTCTATATGCCCAATGTGGGGCAATATTTCAGGTTTCAATTACACTAAATCACAAA